TGATTTATTATAAGTAATTTATGTTTTAATAAGAAATTATTTATGTTTCGAGAATTTATGTTTGCGAATTGTGATTTATTATTAGTAATTTATGTTTTGATGAGGTATGATTATTGATTTAGGAATTTATGTATACGAAATTATGTTTGCGAATTGTGATTTATGATAAGTAAATTATGTTTTAATGAGGAATGATTATTGATTTGAGAGTTTATATTTATGAAATTATGTTTGCGAATTGTGATTTACGATAAGTAATTTATGTTTTATTAGTTATGATTATTGATTAGGAATTTACGTTTAGGAAATTAGGATAAGTGAAAAAGTTTAATTGAGAAGATCGTTGATTGTCGATTGTCAACGATCAACGGCTGTTGATCGTTGATCTTCTTCAAATTTTAATAAACGACCAAACTATTACGATCGTTGATTGTCGACAGTCAATGGTCAGCAGTAAACCTCTGCCCTAGCTGGACTTTGATCTTGGATTCTCCTCTGCCTCTACACAGGTATCGCCTCTTCTCTTCGAGGTCTTGTCAAGACTTCCACTAAGTATAATAGGCTCGAATCTACACAGGCATCACCTCTTCTTTTCGAAGTCTTATCACGACTTTCACTAAGTATAACAGGCTCGTCTCTACATAGGCATCGCCTCTTCTCTTCGAGGTCTTACCATGACTTCCACTAAGTATAAAAGGCTCGCCTCTACACTGGGATCGTCTCTTCTCTTCGAAGTCTTATCACGACTTCTACAAGTATAACATGCTCACCTCTGCACAGGCATCGCCTCTTCTCTTCGGAGTCTTATCACGACTCTCACTCAGTATAACAGGCTTGCCTCTGCACAGGCATCGCCTCTTCTCTTCGAGGTCTTATCACGACTCCCGCTAAGTATACTTCCACATAGGCATCACCTTTTCTCTTCGGAATCTTATCTCTACTTTCGCTAAGTTTAAACAAGTTCGCCTCCGTACAGGCATCGCCTCTTCTCTTTAACGTCTTATCACGACTTCCATTTAGTATAACAAGCTCGCCTCCTCACAAGTATCGCCTCTTTTCTTCGAAGTCTTACGAGAAATCAGCCCATAAAGGCATTTCGAAAAATACATTTCAAAAGACGTGTCATTGATTGTGAGTTCAAAGATAACAAAAAGAACGGTTCATCTCCTAATTACGCGTCAACAAGCTGCAATCATAACACAAAAATCACACAAGAAAAGTGAAATCTATTTCATATATTTACAATTGAGGGCAATCCGCTATTTACATTACAAAGAACACTCGAAGTAGCTTAAAAACACTACATAATACAACTACATCAAACACACAAGTTACTGGACCTATCCCTTTTGAGAAATATCCTCCATGTACAGCAACCTTTACAACTATGAAGTCTCCTGGACCATGTTGAAACTCAAAACTACAGCTACAATACACTCTTCCTAGTTATGCTACGGTAGAGAGATAGCTTAGCTGCTCAGGGAAAGTCAGCCCTGCGGATCCACATATTGCTACTGAAGGCAAATTGGGTTGAGGTTACACCCTATTGTAACATAATTTATTCAAACCAGTAGGCAACCCAAAGCACTTTGTGCTACTCTCAGGGCTTTCAAAGAAAATTATGTTAAAACTACATTTCAATCTTCATAGGTCTAAGAGTCCCACACATCATACCCAGGGATTTTCCGACTTTTACATTCCATAACATCTTCCGAAACCAAGCTATCCCTCGCACTAACTTCCATCAAAATCCACCAAGTACGAATGCCTTCATTAAACGCACCACACACACACAACTTATGTGACTTATGTCAACAGCTGAATATCCAAGAAAATGAGCCTTTTTAAAGGCAAACATACACATTTTCAACCGTCAAATCTCAAAGATCTCAGTCATCCAAATTGCGGCCACATAGGAATCATTCGTCGCATCTGACGCTTCAACTTCTACAGTCTAGATCATAACAGGCGTCTAATAATATACATCAAAAATAAAACACCCTTTTTCGATAAGGCCAAACAGCAGTATAACAATCCGTGGCAATAAATGCCAAGAACGTTCAAACTGCCCAGATAAGCTCGCCTTTCCCCCATGGCTTCGCCTCTTCTTTCGAAGCCTCATTTCGGCTTCCACCTATAATAATAAGCTCGCATCTCCCCATGGCATCACCTCTTCCTTTCGAAGCCTCATTCCGACTTCTACCTATTATAACAGGCTCGCCTCTCCCTATGGCATCGCTTCTTCCTTCAAAGCCTCATCACACCCTTCCTCTATGTATACCACATTCCAGTTCTATCCTTCTTTTCCCCCACTTCTCAAGTCCACACATTATATAAATACCCATACATGGACTTCGGGGACTGTTGTGTTATAACACGTTCTTTTTTTCATCCTTTCTCCCACTTTTCAAGTCCATGCATTATATAAATATCCATACATGGACTTTGGGGACTGTACACATGGACGAACGGTCGAACCCATGAGATGTACCAAGCCCATGTATAACGGAACCCCCTTAGGGAAGGGAGGCGAGGCTCTTTGGTCGAACACCCTCCGAATCAGATCTACTGATGTGATTAACGTGACAACCCCTGCCACCGTCGCCACAACCAACCTCTTTGGTCAAATCTACTGTCGCAAGCTGTAATTTATGAAAGGGAAGTTAGCATTAGCATTAATACACTGTAATTGATTTATGCCCATGATGGGAAGTTAAGCTTAAGAAGATATGCCCACGTATCCTCTCATCTGACGGTCTATATTCACTATCCGGCACTATAAAAGCTCACATTTAGTGTCATTCAAAGGTAATGTAAGTTTAGACTTTGATACTATAACTTTGCTCTCTATGTTTTTTACTTTACTTCTAATACTGACCCTCTGTTTATATTGGAGGCTCACGTTAAAAACCCTCTCACAATCATACATTTCTTCCCAAAATTGACTTGACCATCGGAGTGTGCGCGACCGGCTCCACCCCTATCAGAGAAGGTCATGTGTGACTAACGATTTGTTCTAGTGTGCACGAATACGGTTTATCTGGATGTAAGAGGTCTTGGAATCTGTTGGCCATGTTGAAGGTACATTTTTCGATATCAGCACTAACTAAAGAATTTGGTGCACAACATAATGGTTTTAAAGCAGACGATGTGCATCCCTTGGCATCGAGATAAGTTGTTTTCTTTTCCTGCTATTAAATTTGTTAGGCATGTTTTCAATCTCCTATATTTGGTTAATTCTTTACAGTCTGCTGCTGCAGTTTTTGTTCATACATAATGTATTATTGACAGCAAGTACGATTCTCTCTCTCTCTCTCTCTCTCTCTCTTATTTATGCTTGTTAATACAGGTATTTTTTAGTGAAATTCGTGTGATTAAACAGGATTTTATTTTCTTTTTCTTGAACAAGTATTATTGCTTCTTGGTGTCCTTGACAAATCTAATTCTTCTTGTTTCGGCATATTTTCATTAGATGTGTATGTGTTACTTTCATTTGGCTCTTGGAACTTATTTACTACTACATTCAAGAATTAGATCTGGATAGGAAAAACTGCAATGCATTTGATGCCTCCCGATTTTCTTGAATTTTTATTTTTATTTTTATTTTTTATTTTTTTGCAACGGAAACAAATTGCATCCCCAATATCAGTAAAATTTATCCCTTTAATTGACAATTTTCATGTAAAACAAAGTCAAACAAACACAAAAAAAATACTTTTATTTCAACATTTTTCATGTGGAAAATTATATCAATCAAACAAAATAATTTACAATTCCTAGGAAAATAATTTATAGGCAATTCAATTCCCTGAAATTCGTTTTCAATTCAATTCAATTCTATCTTTGCAATCAAACAGACCCTAAATGTTTGTGATGGTAAGTGGATGCTTCTCAATCCTTTGTTATTTTACAGTACATGGGACAAACCCTTATGTTACCCTCGACACTGGATACATGGAGACGACCAGGGGCAGAGCCATGTCAATGCCTGCACTCAACTTTGGGAGAAGAAAAGTTGGTCATGCAAGTTGGATATACTCTATGTTGGATATTCATGTACATTGGCCATAAAAATTGGAAAACCTGCACTTTCGGAGGAAAATTGGAAAAAAAAATTTGTCTTAGTAAAAAATTTATACCCGCACTGAAAAAAAGTTCTAGCTCCACCCCTGGAGACGACCGTGGAATGGCTGGCAACTGAGTTGGCTCTAGAAATTGTGTTGACAAGATAAACTTTGGCCAAACCTGCCTAAAATCCATTTTTTTCTCCTATTCCTCATCGAATCCTATAAATATAAAGAAAATTCCATTAAGTTCCTATCTGTAAATGTAGCATTTCCACATAATGTACAACACATTCCCTTGCCCGTCGATGCTTCAAGATCTTGTGAATAATATCTCGTAAAACACCTTGACATAACTTTCTATTCTGCTAAGAAAAAGACCTCTCATAGAGTTAGGCCTCGTTTTGTGTGAATTCTAACAGAGATTATGTACAAATAGCAAAACCCAATTTTCTATGACCAAGGTTCACTAGTTGTCTTTGCCATTTCTTACCGCACAATACAGGTATCGTTTCTCAGCTTGTAAAATGTTAGAATGGAGCGCCTTAAAATAAAATTACCTGGCAATTCCTGCAATGATCAACAAGGTTGTGGTCCAGTTAGTGACAAGTATGACAGATTGATGTCTCTGCCCCACGCCACCACCATCCAATGTCCACAAGAAAACTATTCCTTCATTTTTTATTTTATTTTTTTAATTGAACTTTAGTAGATGCTCTTAATTGGACAAATGACAGAGAACACAGAGAATCAGTTGTCATGGTTCTCCATTATGTAATAAAATATTGCCTTGACCACATGAATTTCAGAGTTTATTTAAATGAAATTCATGCACTAAATGAAGAAATGCCAAAAGTTTAGATGCTTCGATCTAACGACATGTTTGGAGGGTGGGACAAATATATATATCACACACACTACTTTAAGTAATGAATAGAGAGCATAAAACGAAACAAGGCTTGCGGAAAATATCAAACTGTACAAAACGAAAGAGCTTACAAGACAAAGAATTACACGCATTTAAATAGAATCACTGAGGCAAACCTACAACTAATGACAGACGAAACAACTAAGAACAGAAAAGCATGGACCGAATTTTGATTCACTAATTGAAAAGGGTGAAAATCAAATGCAAGAGGAACGCTCCGGATAATTGAGTAGGGACTGCTTTTCGTACTGGGACAGGGAAACTACATTCACGCTTCACATGCTTTCCAAGACTTTCCAGCTGTGATGACAAGCAGCCTCACATGTAAATTCTTAGTTCATCCTCTACCCATCATGACTGTTCTTCCTCCCAGCCTTTTTCACACTCATTTGGATTTGTATGTCGTACAGTTTCCGACAGTTACTTTCGTCCTAGGAGCCAATTTTCGTCACGTCCCTGCTTGATCTGTTGTATTTCATGTGACTTTTGACAAGTTGGCCACCTGCAATGGCGGACATCAAAGAGAGCTCACCTGCCAAGACGGAACCAGCAACTACGGTGGCCAGGAGCTGGGAATTCGACCCTGGGGACTCTTTGTTTGCACCTTTTACCCCAAGCAAGTTGAGGCAAGCAGATTGTGATGCTAATTGGGTTCCACCTCCAACTGTGCCAACCTGGAAAATAACAACAGTGATGATTAGGGAATGATACAACATATCTGATATAATCATAAACAAAACAAATGAGGGCGTGTGTGCGCAAACGCATGCGTGCCTGTGATGGACTTCAGAACCAATTGAATCATAATGATCCAAGTTCGAAGAAAAAATATACTAGATCATAGTATAGACAAGTAAAATTTTCCAAAGGGAATTTTCTAAGCATATGTTCTATGTGGTGAGGAAATTCGTCTGCACTATCCAATCACACACCATTGACATTGACCACTACCGATATAACAAAAAAATAAAGAATGTTTGGAACGTTGAATACCTCGATGGAAGGCATCGTGACAGATATATGAAGATCGTTCCCATTGTTGATGGCCTCCATCATAGTGATACAGTGAGAACTTTCTATATTCTGTGCCGGATCCTGCCCAGTGGCTATGTAAATAGCAGAGACTATATTGGCAGCATGGGCATTAAAGCCACCAAGAGCACCGGCTACAGCAGAGCCAGTAAGGTTCTTGAGCATGTTGAGCTCAACAAGAGCAGGTACTGTGGTTTTTAATACCTTCGTCACCACATGTCGAGTAATGATAGCCTCGCAGACAACTGACTTTCCACGCCCTTCAATCCAATTGACAGCAGCAGGTTTCTTATCAGAACAGAAATTCCCTACACCATGGAAGACAAATTAAAGGAGGATTCTAGCAGTGAACCATCAAGCTAAGTCCCAGCAATCTTTATAGATGGATGGTGAAAACAGGAACTAGATCACTTAATCAGAACTCAATATAAACATTTCTTGCATCAAAGTTGATAATTTTGATAATTATTCCAAGAAAAGATAAGGCGTCTGATAAACAAATTACAAGGCAAGAAACAGATTTCAATTTCTATTCGGCCTTTTAGAGCTAATATAATAATTATCACCTAGAAAATAGGAGTTAAAATCCAGAAGAAATATTTGCTTTTGCGTTTGTGCAACCTCCAAAAATAATGAACATTACAGGAAAATTTCAGAAATAATTTAAGCAATAGGGGGTGATTGGTACTAACCAGAAATACCAATAACATCCATATCAGGAAAATCATTTTGAAGGAAGTCTAGTACATTCTGAACACCTTTAGAAACCATGTTCATCCCCATGGCATCACCTGTGCTGCAGCTAAATCTAATGTAAAGATTTTTACCCGCAATAGCACATTTGATACCTTGAAGTCTAGCAAATCTGCTTGACCTGGAAATATAAAAAAAAATCAAATAATGAAAATCTGTTCTAAAATACTACAATTTGCAAAAACTGAACATAGCATGATAGAAAATTAATAATCAAGACAAATTAAAGGCATTCGCAGAAAGGGAAGTAAAACTACTTATCAAGGAACAGAATCCCTGCAGTGGGGAGAAAATGTTTAGACCAATAACTTACAAAGACCTGAATCTGAAAAAGGCTCGAACGCAGTGGGGAAAAGAACATAAAATCATAAGATAGGAGAATCATTAATTACAAATATCCGAAAATAACTCAGCAATAAATCCACTTTTTCAGCAAATCCCAGAATCTGGTACTTGTGCAAAACCAGAAACCAATCAACATCATCATCATTGTCCAAATTCAAACAAAATAATGAACATGCGTAGACGGCTACAATTTGAATATATGACACGACAAATTAACCAATTCCTGATCATATATGGCAGCAGAAAAACTTACATTCCATTCATCGAGAGAATTCAGAAACTTTAAAAAAAGAAAGAAGCTTACTTGCTGAAAACAACAGATAACGTATCAAAATTTAGAGGGTCCTCCAGGAAGAACTTCAATTCCGTAGCCCTCTTCGCGGATGTGAACCTCACCACCGGAGCTCTGGTCATGGCATCTCGGAGAAGCACACAAGTGGCACCTCCAGATGCAAAGATGGCCTTGCAACCCCTGTTGGTACTCGCCACCAAGCAACCTTCCGTGGTGGCCATAGGAACTGAGTACTCGCAGCCGTTGAGCAACAAAGGCCCCGCAATTCCTACCGGTATCTGCACGTATCCGACCGGCATCTCGCAGCACTGACCCAAAATTGAATCATAATCGAACCCTTCTAACGGCAATCCTTCTAGAGATCTACCCACAAGCCTCTGGACCGCATCGCGCCGGATCTTAGCCGCTCTAAAGCAATCCCCGAGCTTGGATTCCAAAGAATACGAAGGAACTTCCCCCGAAACAACAGATTTTACGAGCTCTTCATCGTCCTGGGAGACCGAGGGTATAGCGGGAAGGTCCATTAATCTAGGTTTAGCAGGAGAATGAATATTGCGATCTTCGTTCACAAGGAAGCGCTGTTCGTCATCGTTTTCAAGATCCCAGGCCGAATTACGCGAAATAATGGATTGAACAAAGTCAATTCCAAAAAAGCCTAAAAGGTAAATGAATGACGCAATTAAAGAAACAATCGCCGCAAGCTCGGAGAGCGTAACAACGTGGAGCGGAATAGATGAACGAATCTTGTCGCGCCACCTCTGTAAAAGAAAATAGGAGACGGAGAAGAAAAGCGTGAAGAAAATGCCGTTAGTTAGGTAAAGCGGAAGCGGGAGAGCATCGGAGGCTTTAGGAGAGCGCTGATCGACGGTCTCGTCGGCCTTATGCTTTTGATTGTAGTGAGACCGCAAGGGAGGCCTCCGGCGAATGTCCATAATTCTTCCGTTTGCAAGCTAGCGAGAGAAATGTGGATACTAGAGGTGTACACAGAGAGAGAGAGAGAGAGAGAGAGAGAGAGAGAGAGAGAGAGAGGAATAAATAAATAATTTTTTTTATTTTTTGCCTCTTCCGATTTTTAAAAGCAATGGTGATGCGATGATTTCGGGGAAGTTTACTGTTTATATAGTGTGTGAGGGGATGCGTGTGGGGTATAAAATGTGCCGGCATGACACCGTGTCCATTTGTGGAGTTTTTAAAAAGTTAAAGGAAAATTCTACTTGTACATAATGGTATTCATAATGTGATGTGACAATCATTTGATTGCAATTATGAGATTTGAATTAAAAATTGGATCCAATGTCATGTATAATTATGGACACCATTATGTAAACACTTATGTTCTGAAAGTTAAAAGTGTTTTAAATATTATGCCCCGTTTGTTCTAGATAAAAATCTAAATCTAAATTTAAATTTAAAATTAACAATTAATTTTAACAACTTATTTTACAATATTCATAACTTTTCAAATGCATATTTCATCAACTTTTATCAAAATTTATTAAAAATTCAATTTTAATTTCCATCAAATATGAACTATATTTTTGAATATATTTTAATAATTTCTAAACTATTTTATTAGATTAAAATAAGTTTTAAAGAAAATGGACTAAATAACTTCTTCAGCAAATAGAAGAAATTCAAAAGTTCTGTCAATCGAACCTTAATGGCATACCAAAGTGCTCCTATTTGTTAGAGATTTTTATTTAGGTCAAAATTAACAACTTTCAATCACACTTTTTATGGAAAATTTACTAAAAAATTGATTTTAATCCGACCCAAACGTTTATTTTGAAAACAAAAGAAAGAAACAAAATAATTCCAATCAAAGGCACTTGAAATGGATAAAATACTGAAGTATTCAATTTGCATTTTGCAACATCCCAAGATTTACGGTCTTTGTTATGTGCTCAAATAATTGTTATCCACCCGACTCTATAGAAACATAGAAATTTTGGTAATGTTGTCACACTATTCATTCATTGCATACATTTGTATATGAACTATATATACACGATTTCTAAAATGAGAAAGAACTATATTTGTACTTACAATAAAGGAAAATTATTGACTATGCTCCTAATTAATTTAATTACAATGAGTGGGTAATACATAGGGGCAGAGTCAAGAATTTTGTTCAATGCGAGCATAATTTAATCAAATAGAATTTTTCTATTATGGATTTAATAATATTACGATAACGTTAAAAATGATGTAGCAACAATATTAATAAGATGATCATCTTCTTTCTTATTCGATATCTCTCTATCAATAATTATTACAAACGATTTTCTTTTTAAGAAATATCTCCATTAGAGATTCACACTAGAATAAACCACAAATGTCTCAATAGGATTGGATACCAAAAAATAAATTATCAACCAAAAATTTTGGTGCATTCATAGAAGTAATCTCTCAATAGGATTGGATATTTAAAAATCTAGTAAAATGTTGGACTAAAAATTTTTTAAATTATTTTAATACAATAGTATATGATCTATTAGGATAACATATAAATCATAATTTCTAAAAAAATTAATAACAATAATAATTTATTTGTCTTAGTGATCGGAGTTAGAGATCAAGATATCATAATTACTACGTAGGGATTAATAGATACTCTTTGTCTCACATGCCAGTGAAAGACCAGGGAAGTGTAAAACTAGAAAGCAATATTATGCAAAAGTACTAGAACACAAGCATCAGTTTGGTTGCTTGAAAAATGCTCCGGCAAACAGTTGGAGAGGAGTTCCACAATGTGCCAATTAGATAATGACGACAAATTCATAGAAGGCAGCAAAATCTTTAACTCTTCTCAGAGTCCGTGTAATCAAACATTTGTGGCATTGACAAGGACGAAAGAATCGTGTAATCAAACATTTGTTGCATTGACAAGGACGAAAGAAAAGCAAATAACTTTTGGGGTCATACTACTTTTACTTGTTTGTTTACACTTTGGTTTACTCGAATTCACCTCCTCTTCTCACATGGGGGTCGAGATTACGGAAGAGATTTCACAGTGCTAAGATCATGATGTTCTATTTGTTGAGTTTATGAAAGATATTTCTTCCATTATATATGTCAACCACAAAGGACCTCATTGCATGCCCACATGTTACCAAGCATTTGCACCTTGGCCTCCAAGACGCAGTAAGTTTAAACAAATGTTTTAGGTGTCAAAGCTCTTCCTCTCAAAGGGATGCAGGCCGGCAAAAGCATTCAAAAGCCTCTTCCAAACTGTGGCATTACACGACAAATTGGAAGTCTCAAATATAGACGATATTTCTATTGGAGATGACTTATAAAAATGGCTATCTAAGGATTGATTTTTGATATATTTGTTTCACCAGTTTTAACTTGCAAGAGCGTGATCAAAACACCATTTATATAAATGAAAATTTGGACAGAGTTTCGATATAATGATTATGCAAAACAAAGATTAAGGAGGAGTAGAAATAGAGAATAATTCAAAGCGAGACATTATCTCTTTCCTTAAAACAAATTGTCCCACTACGGTGCTCGCGGTGAATGGCACTTGTCTCCCAAAATACAATGAATTTACAACTTGTGGTAGCAGCACTTCAAACCACAAGAAGCCAACGAACTTCGACAGAATTTTCCCTCTACAAAGAAAATGCATGAAAATGTTATGGAATTAGAAAGAAGAGAATTACAAGAGGAAAATGAATGCTCAATGTAATTGGTGTACCCAAAACCATGTCCATAGGGTGCAAGAGGAGAAATGAATGCTCAATGTAATTGATGCACCCAAAATCATATCCATAGGGTCCTATTTACAGATGTAGAAAAGGGTGCAAATAAAGTAATGTAGGTCAAAACATGCAACACTTCGCCAAAACCTGCATCATTTTGAAAAATTGCAACACGTCATTTCTTCCAACTTAGGTCCGTAATTTCTCATTCATCCAGAATTGGTTTCGAGATTCCAAATATACCACGACGATCTACTCGATGAGTAGAATAAGTTGGTCTATTTATTTTTATAATTTAACCATCGGATTAAGTTCGAATATTTGGTCGAAGTTGACACGTAGTCACACCTTTTTCATTTTCCACTTTTACACACATTTTTATTTTCCAATTTTTGGTTAATTATTTGAACCAATTCCTACAATCCCCCACATGAATGAAAATTCGAATACGTATATACAAATGAGATGATATAATGCAATGTAGAGAGGGTGTAGAAAAATATTGCATCAGAGATGGTGGCTTCTGACCTTGAACCTCCCTTAGTGAAATGCCATCGGACTTACTCGACTAATTGATGAACCATAGGTCTTGAACCACTTAGCCTTTTGTGTAAGTCAAGACAACTGTACTCACACAAATATCTTCCCTATTCTGTACTTAGTTCTCATGACTTGGTTCATTTTAGCCCTAAACCCTTCTTGGTTTTATAAGTGTCTAGAGAATTCAAATTTTAAACAATTCTTATCGAAACAGCCCCACTTTACACTTACATAGGTGATCTCCTATTAAGAGTATTATGTCCTACTCCACTTAACTTAATCAAAATATAGGAATCATTAAAAGATAATCTTAGCCTCTATCTACTCTGCAAAAAGCACTTTAGTATAATAGGAATGAATTAGGAATTCTAATTTCCTAAGTGCTTCATGGAATTTTCACAACTTAGTTGTCCCTTTAAAACCAAGATTTTGGGATCTCCAGTCAACAAGGTAGGGTTACCATTGCAAAAACTCTTACGTGGTAGGCTTTAATCTCATTCCTCTTGATGGGCAAAGCATTTGATCTCTAGGCAAACTTTTTGTAAGTGGGTCCGCAATATTCTCCTTTGATTTCATATAATCTATGGAGATAACGTCATTTAAGATTAGTTGCTTAATGGTGATGTGTCTACGATGAATATGTCTAGACTTATCATTATACATGCTGCTTCGAGCCCTTCCAATTGAAGATTGACTATCACAATGTATATTTATCATAGTTACTGGTTTGTGCCAACATGGAACATTTTCTAAGAAGTTTCGAAGTCATTCTGCTTCTTCTTCAGCTTTGTCCAAAGTAATAAACTCAGATTTCATCGTTGATCGAGTTATGCACGTTTGCTTTGTTGATTTTCATGATACAGCAGCTCCACCAATGGTGAATACATAACTACTAGTGGACTTGAAATTCTTCATACCGAATATTCAAGTCGCATCACAATATCCTTTTAGTACCGCAATATATTTTGTGAAGTGTAATTCATAAGTTAAGGTATACTTCAAGTACCTTAGAACCCTCGTCAAAGCCTTCTAATAATCACTGTTTGGATTACTTGTAAATCTACTAAATTTATTCACCGCAAAAGCAATATCCGATCGAGTACAGTTTGTAATATACATAAGATTGCCAATTATTTGTGAATATCTTAGTTGTGATATGCTTTCTCCCGTATTCTTGACTAAGTGTATACTTGGATCAAGAGGAGTTCTCGCAGGACTTTCTTCAAACACGTCAAACTTCTTAAATACTTTTTCTATGTAGTGAGATTGTGAAAGTATAATTCCATCATGCGTTTTAGAGATTTTAAACCCTGAGATTACATCTGTCACACCCATATCTTTCATATCGAAATGTTTTGTTAGCATCTTTTTTGTGTTAAGCAATATTTCGTGACTATTGCCCATTATTAACATGTCCATGTATAGACATACAATTACATAGGTATTCGGTGTATATTTAATATATACACATTTGTCACATTCGTTGATCTTGAATACATTTGATAACATTGTTTTGTCAAACTTTTGGTATCATTGTTTAGGAATTTGTTTTAATCCATACAAGAACTTAACAAGTTTACACACTTTGTATTTTTTGTTAGGAGAAACGAACCCTTCAGGTTGCTCCATGTAAGTCTCCTCTTCTAACTCACCGTTTAGGAATGCTGTTTTTACAGCCATTTGATGAATTTCAAGATTATGTATTGCCACAATTGCAATTAACAACCTTATCGACGTGATTATAGTCACGGGTGAGTAAGGTGTCATTGTTTG